TGTATTAACACCCAAAAATAACATCGTACAATGTGTCCACGAAATCATAGAAAACTATCTAAGCTAGAAGAACTAACCTAGATATAAACATCCCAAACACTCTAGGTATGAAGATTTCAGGACAAGCCCCTAGATAAAGACCAAATCATAGTTTTCATAATGGATGCATGATTAAATACTAATCTATTCTAACAAAGCTTTTCTTCCCATCCTTATCCACACGGACTCTCAAAGTGTACTTGACAGGTGGTTTGGGAGGTAGCACCTTCGTGGGCATGGTAGTTCCCAGTGAGATGAGGGGTGCGGATTCCGGAGCAGTTTCTGCCGTAGGCCTTGTTCCCACCTCCTCCCTGATCCCCATCATAAGCTCCACGGTTTCAGTCTCCTTATGTGCCACGTCTGATACAAATTCCGCCACCGGTTCCTGGGCCAATGCAGCTCCCTCAAGCCAGACTACCATATCCATAAGCTCAACTAACTCACCCAACTCATCAGTTTCCTTCTCCTTGGTCTCGTTGCAAATCTGCTCAGAGGTAGCACTTTCATCCACATAAAGATCACTTGTTGTGTTCACCTCCTTCTCATGTAGATTTTTTTCCAATTCCTCCTTTTCATGTAATTTTTTGCAAATAAATGGGTTGTGCCCATATTTTTTGAAATGAAAACAAAAATTTGGAAAAGTTTCATAAACCACCGATTGGTTAATTACCTTATGTGAGGGTAGTCGAATAGGAAATGAAAGAATGGGCGGTTTCGACGCATCCACTTCAATAAGCACTCTAGCAAACCTATGATTGCTCCTTTCTTGGGTGATCAAGTCTGTAGTCATTGGCATCCCAACCATAGAGGCTACTTCACTCATGGCTTCTTTATTCCATAGTTTCATTGGTAGGTGTGAGAATTTAACCCAAATCGGCACTTTGAGGAACTCTTCATCCTCAAAAGTAAAGTCTTCAGATAAAACCTTCAACATGAGAAGCTTGCAATAGATGACATAGGGTCCCTCATTCAGTATTTTCATTCTGTCCACATCGGTATGGAATTTAAAAATCACCCAGCCCTTATCGTGGGACTTGATTTGGCACTTCACACCCCACCTAAACTTCAGCTCATGGACAACTTTTAGCCCAGGAAAACGACCTGTGAAGAAACCAACTAGGCAATATCCCCACATATCAACCATGGATGGCATAACTCTATCAGAGAAGTCCAGGGTATTACCTCTAGGAGGCACAAAATTCAGTTTGATTCCATTAGAAGGGACTCGGTTGTCCTTAAAGAGAGTAGTCCATGGTTTTTCAACCAAATTCTTCTGTTTTGTGATTGTTCCAGCGTAAGTCTGTACTGGTTGGGCATGTTGAGCAGTCTTACTGCCTTCTCCACCTGTATCAGTATCCAGAATCTCCAGCAGTGGCTTGGCAGTGGCCATTTCACCCTCTTTTGTCTCATGCTGCACACTGCCTGTGTGCCCAACCTTCTCTGCAGTCACTGTTTTGGCATTTGGTTCAGGAGTTCCCTGCGCCAGGGCAGTCATATTCACAACATCCCCAGTTTCCCTCAACGGTGCGTTTGGTATCACAGTTGACCCCAGCGAAGAAACCCTAGGTGTAGTCTTCACAGTTGCAAAAGGGATGGGAATTCATCTTCCAAATCTTCCAGTACAGAGAACTTGGAAACTGACCTGGTAGCTCGCGGCATAGACAGTCCCGTATTCCCCTGCTTCTGTCGCGCCATTGAAGCTAGGGCTTTCCAGGTGAAAGAAGTTACTGAGTTTGTTTCTCCTTCGAATAACAAATCCGCGCTCAGAACAGGTACAGCGACTTCAAACGAACCTCGGAATTTAACCCCAGGCGTCGAATCAGAGAGTTCAGTCCAGATTCGTCGTTCGTGTGAACAGTAGAATTTCGTATATCAGTTCAATTCTTTTTTTCAATACGTCGCCCAGATACTTTTCAATCCCAAATCCAAGTTCGGAAATGGGATGAGAGTTCAGGCGTTGATTTCAAAATATCAAGGGATGATTTCCTAATTACTAAAATACACTGTATTTACGCTAAAAGTGCTCTATTTTTATGAAAACGCTAAATCATAGAGATAAGGCTAAGTATTTGTGACACTCATATCTTGCTGTGTGTTTATCCGTTTGGATCATATTATATCTAGTTGGAAAGATAGATCGGAGCTCTAAAGCTATTGTTCCAACTTCATTTACAATGAATTAATTAAAAGTTACAGATTAACCATATATTCACAAATGTTTCTGATTTCACTCCGAACTCGTGTAGAATTTGATGCGATCATATCTTGCTCTATTTTTTGCCGCTGAAAGCCTTTAATATCTCGTTGGAAAGATCTTATTGAGTTCTAGAACTTGTCTTCAGGCGCTGGTTTCAAAATATCAAGGGATGATTGCCTAATTACTAAAATTCACTGTATTTTCACTAAAAGTGCTCTATTTTCGCTGAAAACGCTAAATCATAGGGATAAGGATAAGTATTTGTGTCACTCATATCTTGCTGTGTGTTTATCCATTTGGATCGTATTATATCTCGTTGGAAAGATAGATAGGAGCTCTAAAGCTATTGTTCCAACTTCATTTACAATGCATTAATTAAAAGTTACAGATTAACCATATATTCACAAATGTTTCTGATTTTACACCGAACTCATGTAGAATTTGACGCGATCATATCTTGCTCTATTTTGTGCCGTTGAAAGCGTTTAATATCTCGATGGAAATATCTTACCGAGTTCTAAAACATGTCTTCAGGCGCTGGTTTCAAAATATCAAGGGATGATTGCCTAATTACTAAAATACACTGTATTTACGCTAAAAGTGCTCTATTTTGGCTGAAAACGCTAAATCATAGAGAAAAGGCTAAGTATTTGTGACATTCATATCTTGCTGTGTGTTTATCCGTTTTGGGCGTATTATATCTCGTTGGAAAGATATATCGGAGCTGTAAAGCTATTGTTCCAACTTCATTTACACTGCATTAATTAAAAGTTACAGATTAACCATATATTCACAAATGTTTCTGATTTCACCCTGAACTCGTGTAGAATTTGATGTGATCATATCTTGCTCTATGTTGTGCCGTTGAAAGCGTTTAATATCTCGTTGGAAATATATTACCGAGTTCTAAAACTTGTCTTCAGGCGCTGGTTTAAAAAAATCAAGGTATTATTGCCTAATTACTAAAATACACTGTATTCACGCTAAAAGTGCTCTATTTTCGCTGAAAACGCTAAATCATAGGGATAAGGCTATGTATTTGTGTCACTCATATCTTGCTGTGTGTTTATCCGTTTGGATCGTATTATATCTCGTTGGAAAGATAGATCGGAGCTCTAAAGCTATTGTTCCAACTTCATTTACAATGCATTAATTAAAAGTTACAGATTAACCATATATTCACAAATGTTTCTTATTTCACTCCGAACTCGTGTAGAATGTGAGGCGATCACATCTTGCTTTATTTTGTGCCATTGAAAGCGTTTAATATCTCGTTGGAAAGATCTTACCGAGTTCTAAAACTTGTCTTCAGGCGCGGGTTTCAAAGTATCAAGGGTTGATTGCCTAATTACTGAAATACACTGTATTTACGCTAAAAGTGCTCTATTTTCGCTGAAAACGCTAAATCATAGAGATAAGGCTAAGTATTTGTGACACTCATATCTTGCTGTGTGTATATCCATTTGGAGCGTATTTTATCTCGTTGGAAAGATAGATCGGAGATCTAAAGCTATTGTTCAACTTCATTTACAATGCATTAATTTAAAGTTACAGATTAACCATATATTAACAAATGTTTATGATTTCACTCCGAACTCGTGTAGAATTTGATGCGATCATATCTTGCTCTATTTTGTGCCGTTGAAAGAATTTAATATCTCGTTGGAAGGATCTTACCGAGTTCTAAAACTTGTCTTCAGGCGCTGATTTCAATTTTTTGGATGAAAGGTAATTGTATTAACACCCAAAAATAACATCGTACAATGTGTCCACGAAATCATAGCAAACTATCTAAGCTAGAAGAACTAACCTAGATATAAACATCCCAAACACTCTAGGTATGAAGATATCAGGACAAGCCCCTAGATAAAGACCAAATCATAGTTTTCATAATGGATGCATGATTAAATACTAATCTATTCTAACAAAGCTTTTCTTCCCATCCTTATCCACACGGACTCTCAAAGTGTACTTGACAGGTGGTTTGTGAGGTAGCACCTTCGTGGGCATGGTAGTTCCCAGTGAGATGAGGGGTGCGGATTCCGGAGCAGTTTCTGCCGTAGGCCTTGTTCCCACCTCCTCCCTGATCCCCATCACAAGCTCCACGGTTTCAGTCTCCTTATGTGCCACGTCTGATACAAATTCCGCCACCGGTTCCTGGGCCAATGCAGCTCCCTCAGGCCAGACTACCGTATCCATAAGCTCAACTAACTCACCCAACTCATCAGTTTCCTTCTCCTTGGTCTCGTTGCAAATCTGCTCAGAGGTAGCACTTTCATCCACATAAAGATCACTTGTTGTGTTCACCTCCTTCTCATGTAGATTTTTTTCCAATTCCTCCTTTTCATGTAATTTTTTGCAAATAAATGGGTTGTGCCCATATTTTTTGAAATGAAAACAAAAATTTGGAAAAGTTTCATAAACCACCGATTGGTTAATTACCTTATGTGAGGGTAGTCGAATAGGAAATGAAAGAATGGGCGGTTTCGACGCATCCACTTCAATAAGCACTCTAGCAAACCTATGATTGCTCCTTTCTTGGGTGATCAAGTCTGTAGTCATTGGCATCCCAACCATAGAGGCTACTTCACTCATGGCTTCTTTATTCCATAGTTTCATTGGTAGGTGTGGGAATTTAACCCAAATCGGCACTTTGAGGAACTCTTCATCCTCAAAAGTAAAGTCTTCAGATAAAACCTTCAACATGAGAAGCTTGCAATAGATGACATAGGGTCCCTCATTCAGTATTTTCATTCTGTCCACATCGGTATGGAATTTAAAAATCACCCAGCCCTTATCGTGGGACTTGATTTGGCACTTCACACCCCACCTAAACTTCAGCTCATGGACAACTTTTAGCCCAGGAAAACGACCTGTGAAGAAACCAACTAGGCAATATCCCCACATATCAACCATGGATGGCATAACTCTATCAGAGAAGTCCAGGGTATTACCTCTAGGAGGCACAAAATTCAGTTTGATTCCATTAGAAGGGGCTCGGTTGTCCTTAAAGAGAGTAGTCCATGGTTTTTCAACCAAATTCTTCTGTTTTGTGATTGTTCCAGCGTAAGTCTGTACTGGTTGGGCATGTTGAGCAGTCTTACTGCCTTCTCCGCCTGTATCAGTATCCAGAATCTCCAGCAGTGGCTTGGCAGTGGCCATTTCACCCTCTTTTGTCTCATGCTGCACACTGCCTGTGTGCCCAACCTTCTCTGCAGTCACTGTTTTGGCATTTGGTTCAGGAGTTCCCTGCGCCAGGGCAGTCATATTCACAACATCCCCAGTTTCCCTCAACGGTGCGTTTGGTATCACAGTTGACCCCAGCGAAGAAACCCTAGGTGTAGTCTTCACAGTTGCAGAAAGGGATGGGAATTCATCTTCCAAATCTTCCAGTACAGAGAACTTGGAAACTGACTTGGTAGCTCGCGGCATAGACAGTCCCGTATTCCCCTGCTTCTGTCGCGCCATTGAAGCTAGGGCTTTCCAGGTGAAAGAAGTTACTGAGTTTGTTTCTCCTTCGAATAACAAATCCGCGCTCAGAACAGGTTCAGCGACTTCAAACGAACCTCGGAATTTAACCCCAGGCGTCGAATCAGAGAGTTCAGTCGAGATTCGTCGTTCGTGTGAACAGTAGAATTTCGTATATCAGTTCAATTCTTTTTTTCAATACGTCGCCCAGATACTTTTCAATCCCAAATCCAAGTTCGGAAATGGGATGAGAGTTCAGGCGTTGATTTCAAAATATCAAGGGATGATTTCCTAATTACTAAAATACACTGTATTTACGCTAAAAGTGCTCTATTTTTATGAAAACGCTAAATCATAGAGATAAGGCTAAGTATTTGTGACACTCATATCTTGCTGTGTGTTTATCCGTTTGGATCATATTATATCTAGTTGGAAAGATAGATCGGAGCTCTAAAGCTATTGTTCCAACTTCATTTACAATGAATTAATTAAAAGTTACAGATTAACCATATATTCACAAATGTTTCTGATTTCACTCCGAACTCGTGTAGAATTTGATGCGATCATATCTTGCTCTATTTTTTGCCGCTGAAAGCCTTTAATATCTCGTTGGAAAGATCTTATTGAGTTCTAGAACTTGTCTTCAGGCGCTGGTTTCAAAATATCAAGGGATGATTGCCTAATTACTAAAATTCACTGTATTTTCACTAAAAGTGCTCTATTTTCGCTGAAAACGCTAAATCATAGGGATAAGGATAAGTATTTGTGTCACTCATATCTTGCTGTGTGTTTATCCATTTGGATCGTATTATATCTCGTTGGAAAGATAGATAGGAGCTCTAAAGCTATTGTTCCAACTTCATTTACAATGCATTAATTAAAAGTTACAGATTAACCATATATTCACAAATGTTTCTGATTTTACACCGAACTCATGTAGAATTTGACGCGATCATATCTTGCTCTATTTTGTGCCGTTGAAAGCGTTTAATATCTCGATGGAAATATCTTACCGAGTTCTAAAACATGTCTTCAGGCGCTGGTTTCAAAATATCAAGGGATGATTGCCTAATTACTAAAATACACTGTATTTACGCTAAAAGTGCTCTATTTTGGCTGAAAACGCTAAATCATAGAGAAAAGGCTAAGTATTTGTGACATTCATATCTTGCTGTGTGTTTATCCGTTTTGGGCGTATTATATCTCGTTGGAAAGATATATCGGAGCTGTAAAGCTATTGTTCCAACTTCATTTACACTGCATTAATTAAAAGTTACAGATTAACCATATATTCACAAATGTTTCTGATTTCACCCTGAACTCGTGTAGAATTTGATGTGATCATATCTTGCTCTATGTTGTGCCGTTGAAAGCGTTTAATATCTCATTGGAAATATATTACCGAGTTCTAAAACTTGTCTTCAGGCGCTGGTTTAAAAAAATCAAGGTGTTATTGCCTAATTACTAAAATACACTGTATTCACGCTAAAAGTGCTCTATTTTCGCTGAAAACGCTAAATCATAGGGATAAGGCTATGTATTTGTGTCACTCATATCTTGCTGTGTGTTTATCCGTTTGGATCGTATTATATCTCGTTGGAAAGATAGATCGGAGCTCTAAAGCTATTGTTCCAACTTCATTTACAATGCATTAATTAAAAGTTACAGATTAACCATATATTCACAAATGTTTCTTATTTCACTCCGAACTCGTGTAGAATGTGAGGCGATCACATCTTGCTTTATTTTGTGCCATTGAAAGCGTTTAATATCTCGTTGGAAAGATCTTACCGAGTTCTAAAACTTGTCTTCAGGCGCGGGTTTCAAAGTATCAAGGGTTGATTGCCTAATTACTGAAATACACTGTATTTACGCTAAAAGTGCTCTATTTTCGCTGAAAACGCTAAATCATAGAGATAAGGCTAAGTATTTGTGACACTCATATCTTGCTGTGTGTATATCCATTTGGAGCGTATTTTATCTCGTTGGAAAGATAGATCGGAGATCTAAAGCTATTGTTCAACTTCATTTACAATGCATTAATTTAAAGTTACAGATTAACCATATATTAACAAATGTTTATGATTTCACTCCGAACTCGTGTTGAATTTGATGCGATCATATCTTGCTCTATTTTGTGCCGTTGAAAGAATTTAATATCTCGTTGGAAAGATCTTACCGAGTTCTAAAACTTGTCTTCAGGCGCTGATTTCAATTTTTTGGATGAAAGGTAATTGTATTAACACCCAAAAATAACATCGTACAATGTGTCCACGAAATCATAGAAAACTATCTAAGCTAGAAGAACTAACCTAGATATAAACATCCCAAACACTCTAGGTATGAAGATATCAGGACAAGCCCCTAGATAAAGACCAAATCATAGTTTTCATAATGGATGCATGATTAAATACTAATCTATTCTAACAAAGCTTTTCTTCCCATCCTTATCCACACGGACTCTCAAAGTGTACTTGACAGGTGGTTTGGGAGGTAGCACCTTCGTGGGCATGGTAGTTCCCAGTGAGATGAGGGGTGCGGATTCCGGAGCAGTTTCTGCCGTAGGCCTTGTTCCCACCTCCTCCCTGATCCCCATCACAAGCTCCACGGTTTCAGTCTCCTTATGTGCCACGTCTGATACAAATTCCGCCACCGGTTCCTGGGCCAATGCAGCTCCCTCAGGCCAGACTACCGTATCCATAAGCTCAACTAACTCACCCAACTCATCAGTTTCCTTCTCCTTGGTCTCGTTGCAAATCTGCTCAGAGGTAGCACTTTCATCCACATAAAGATCACTTGTTGTGTTCACCTCCTTCTCATGTAGATTTTTTTCCAATTCCTCCTTTTCATGTAATTTTTTGCAAATAAATGGGTTGTGCCCATATTTTTTGAAATGAAAACAAAAATTTGGAAAAGTTTCATAAACCACCGATTGGTTAATTACCTTATGTGAGGGTAGTCGAATAGGAAATGAAAGAATGGGCGGTTGCGACGCATCCACTTCAATAAGCACTCTAGCAAACCTATGATTGCTCCTTTCTTGGGTGATCAAGTCTGTAGTCATTGGCATCCCAACCATAGAGGCTACTTCACTCATGGCTTCTTTATTCCATAGTTTCATTGGTAGGTGTGGGAATTTAACCCAAATCGGCACTTTGAGGAACTCTTCATCCTCAAAAGTAAAGTCTTCAGATAAAACCTTCAACATGAGAAGCTTGCAATAGATGACATAGGGTCCCTCATTCAGTATTTTCATTCTGTCCACATCGGTATGGAATTTAAAAATCACCCAGCCCTTATCGTGGGACTTGATTTGGCACTTCACACCCCACCTAAACTTCAGCTCATGGACAACTTTTAGCCCAGGAAAACGACCTGTGAAGAAACCAACTAGGCAATATCCCCACATATCAACCATGGATGGCATAACTCTATCAGAGAAGTCCAGGGTATTACCTCTAGGAGGCACAAAATTCAGTTTGATTCCATTAGAAGGGGCTCGGTTGTCCTTAAAGAGAGTAGTCCATGGTTTTCAACCAAATTCTTCTGTTTTGTGATTGTTCCAGCGTAAGTCTGTACTGGTTGGGCATGTTGAGCAGTCTTACTGCCTTCTCCGCCTGTATCAGTATCCAGAATCTCCAGCAGTGGCTTGGCAAAGGCCATTTCACCCTCTTTAGTCTCATGCTGCACACTGCCTGTGTGCCCAACCTTCTCTGCAGTCACTGTTTTGGCATTTGGTTCAGGAGTTCCCTGCGCCAGGGCAGTCATATTCACAACATCCCCAGTTTCCCTCAACGGTGCGTTTGGTATCACAGTTGACCCCAGCGAAGAAACCCTAGGTGTAGTCTTCACAGTTGCAGAAAGGGATGGGAATTCATCTTCCAAATCTTCCAGTACAGAGAACTTGGAAACTGACCTGGTAGCTCGCGGCATAGACAGTCCCGTATTCCCCTGCTTCTGTCGCGCCATTGAAGCTAGGGCTTTCCAGGTGAAAGAAGTTACTGAGTTTGTTTCTCCTTCGAATAACAAATCCGCGCTCAGAACAGGTTCAGCGACTTCAAACGAACCTCGGAATTTAACCCCAGGCGTCGAATCAGAGAGTTCAGTCGAGATTCGTCGTTCGTGTGAACAGTAGAATTTCGTATATCAGTTCAATTCTTTTTTTCAATACGTCGCCCAGATACTTTTCAATCCCAAATCCAAGTTCGGAAATGGGATGAGAGTTCAGGCGTTGATTTCAAAATATCAAGGGATGATTTCCTAATTACTAAAATACACTGTATTTACGCTAAAAGTGCTCTATTTTTATGAAAACGCTAAATCATAGAGATAAGGCTAAGTATTTGTGACACTCATATCTTGCTGTGTGTTTATCCGTTTGGATCATATTATATCTAGTTGGAAAGATAGATCGGAGCTCTAAAGCTATTGTTCCAACTTCATTTACAATGAATTAATTAAAAGTTACAGATTAACCATATATTCACAAATGTTTCTGATTTCACTCCGAACTCGTGTAGAATTTGATGCGATCATATCTTGCTCTATTTTTTGCCGCTGAAAGCCTTTAATATCTCGTTGGAAAGATCTTATTGAGTTCTAGAACTTGTCTTCAGGCGCTGGTTTCAAAATATCAAGGGATGATTGCCTAATTACTAAAATTCACTGTATTTTCACTAAAAGTGCTCTATTTTCGCTGAAAACGCTAAATCATAGGGATAAGGCTAAGTATTTGTG